TGTTCGGTTTGTTACTTGTTCATAGGACACTGGTTGGGCTTCAGAGGTAACACCAAGGCCTCCWTGGATGCAGGTGAAGGAACTGTGCAGTGTCTGTGTTTTTAGGGCCTCTGTGAATTTGTACCTTTGCAGAATTTGTGCTGTTTATGGGCAGTTTAGTGCTTTTGTCTGCTAGTTCAAGGAGTATTACTTGTGGGCATATGGAACCTATTACATGTGATTTGTAGATCCATTGTAGATTTTAAAAACAGTAAGGAATGGGATTTCACAATGTAGGAACATTTTGGCCTAGGACTTAAACTAAAAAACCCTAAATATTTGAAAACTGTCTTTCTAAAAGTGGAAATGCACAAATAGTTTGTAAACAGTGCAGGCTGTAGGGGTTATATCTAAAGAAAAAGAGATAACCAGCTGCAAAGCTTTGAGCTTTGGGGTTTCTGCAAAACCTCAYAGTGACGGGGAACAATTTTTCTTCCTTGGGGACTTTGGGGAATCAGATGGGTCCATCCTAAGGTTTGAGAAGGAGGGTTCCGAGCCCCCTCCACACACTCCTGGTTTTGTTGCCTGGTAGAAAGACGTGTTGTGGGAAGGTCTTGTGGGAAACGGCTGCTGCAGGAGGGTGAGCTGTAGAGAGCCTTGAAAGCTGAGACTAATGGACTTTATCCTTGATACAGATACACAGGATCCCAAAGAGGGCGGAGGTGGAAGTAATGCAATATCTTTGAAAGAGCACATTGGAAAGCAGAAATCTCCTTAGGGGAGGAGAAATCTCCTCCTATAGAAGCAGGTCKGCTTCTATAAACTGGTCACAGCCACGTTTGGAAAGGCTGGTCATGGAAAGCCCTTCGCTGTTGGGCCCTTTGTGCCCTTTGCTTCTCCTCCAGTTCTCTGCTTCCCCTTCCCCTTGTATTTCAGAGGCTCCCCTGAAGATGAGGGATATTTCTTATGCTGTTCTTCACTCCCAAGATCATTGTATGCTGTGCACTTGTTAATATTGGTGTTATGTCTGCAGGTATAGATACAGAAAGGAGAAGGAAAAAATGTTATTTACGCCTATAGTTAGAAAGATTTCAGGTCATGCTGTCGGTCTCTGCCAGTTCCTGCCTGTGGCCCATATTGCTATTCGTGGCTTTTGCTCTTCTCCTGTGGTTTTAAGTCAGCCTGGGGACGCTGAGACCCATCTGGAATTAGCAGTGTTTCAAATGTTTAAATCCTCTAACCCATTCCTCTCTGAAATTCTTTTTCTTTCCTGCATTCTTTTTCCATGCTTTTTGTGTTTACTAAGAAAATTAAATATTAATAAAAAGACATTCTGAGAATTGCTCTGATTAAAAAATATAAAAACTTGGAAAACTTTTCCGGCTGCTCGGGGTGAAAAGGCGAGCCGGGAGGCGAGCAGGGCACTGGTGTGTGTGGGTGCAAGGATTGTGTTATTCCCATCACACAACGGCCGGTTGCTCGCCCGGTAGATCATCCTGCCAACAGCCCCGTGCACGAAGGGCATTTTTCCCGAAGCGCAACCGAGTCCCCACATCAAATTCCCGCAGAAGCCCGAAAAGGCTGAATGGTGGCGGGGAGCAGGATGGCGATGGGAAAACCGAGGGTTCTTTCAATGGGAAAAATCACGACTTGGGGGGCTGGTTTGGGGGGCTCATCGGAGGG